GCTACAGTACTGCACACGGCTCTGCCACACTGATGCAAGTGGAATATCTCCATTTTGTACGACCCAAATATACAATGCCTCCCGTCCCAACTCCACCCCTAATGAAAAGGCGTGCTCATGTAAAAACACTCGCCTGTTTCTCCCTCCCCCTTTCTGTCCACGCTTGGGCCGATTATTTGCAAAAGTTGCGAGGTAGCAGCGCACCTCATGGTGCGGGCACACACTGCGTGCGTGCGCTGCAGGGGGAGCAAATTGCGCAATGTCCATCGCCATTGACAAATGGCCGTTAATCAACTGCCGTTCTGCACCAGTGGGTAGGGAACGGATGGGAGGGAGGACGCCGGAGGGCGCCCAGGCGTTGGAGGGGCAGCTCCTGGACCAATTGCAGCCAACCAGGGAGCCCGCCGCCAGTGCCGCCGGGGATCCACCGGAGGGATATGCTCGACGGCAGCCTGGAGGCAGAGCTGGCGTTCATCGCCGCCTGCTGCAAGACGGGTGGGCGGATGTTGGAGGGATCCATGGTGCTGAAATCGACACTAGCCCTGCTGGCCGAGCCAAGGTAGATACCCGCGCCTCAGGGCAGATTTGTTGTTATTGGAATGTGGGAGCCGCAGTGGGATTCTGCTTGCCGAGGTGGCCAGCAAGAATGGGGGACGGCTGGCCTGTTTGATTTGAGGGCTGCTTTCCTGAGGGTCTGTCCAAGTATCTTTGGCACGGCGCCGGCGATGTGCCCCATCCCCGTCGCCGTCGCAATTGCGAAATATGGCAACATATATTCTGTTGGCTTCCGTTGGCCACTCCCTACAGATAGGCAGCCAGTCGTCTTTCATGCAAATTCGTCCGATGCGCAATAACAAGTGGGGCATAGGAGAATATGACAAGACTGAACGAAAAGTATCGGCATAAGTAAAACATGATAAAGCCGCCCAGCTACAGATCGCAGATCGACGAACCACTTCACTCAATATTAATGCTAAACACGTGTTAGGTTGCAAGAAATTGTGCAAGCTGAATTGCAAGACGCACTGAAAACAGGCGAAACTGCGATTTTTACTGCAATTTTATTGTGCCATTCCTACCAGCGATCGAAAGGCAGCCCGCTGTTGGCTGTTGAGCTTGATATACTTCTGTGTTGAGCTTGAAATGGTATTTTGGAACGAGAAAAGAAAGAGGAAGAGGAAACAGGAGAAAAATAGAAAAACAGAAGAAAATGGAATAAAATTAGGGGATATGAAAGCAAAAATGGTGGTTTTGTGCCTGTCCATGTCCGCGAGACTGGCCACCCCTTCGCCTCCGTCGGGGCTCTGGACAACGGCTGCACGGGCGCCCTGGTGGGCCCCTGCCACGTCCTGACCGCCGGCCACTGCGTCTACAGCCCTTTCCGCCACAAGTGGCTCCAGCCGCTGGGGTTCACGCCCGGGCGCAACGGGCGCCGTGCCTGGCAGCCGCATGGCAGGGCGGATTACGTAAGGGCCCACGTCACCGTGGATTGGCAGCTGCAGCACAACTACTCTGCCGACATTGGCCTTGTGGTGGTGGATCGGCCCATTGGGGAGCGCGTGGGGCTCCTGGGCCTGGGGAGCGGCCGTTTTGGCGAGTTGGCTGGTGGCTTGAACATGGCGGGGTACCCCACAGACCGGGCGGAGGGCGAGATGTGGTTCGAGTACTGCGATCAGGTGGCATTTGGCGACCACATGCTCTACCACTCGTGCTCGTCGAAAGCGGGAAACTCGGGGTCGCCTCTGTGGGCCTACCGCAGGTGTGGATTTGCCAACGTAACACGTTCGATGCAATTCTCGTGTGCGCTCAAAACCTGTACAGGTGAAACTGCGTATCTGTCAAATCCCATGTGCTAAAAAGGGAATCAGTGTTTTTCGTCCCTGCTCTGGCGTGCTTTCAACAAGTACCAGCAGTGAGTCATTGTTGAGGTTAGCCAGTGGAGCCAACGCTCAAACCACTACCCCAAAGTGCTCGCAGGAAGAACATGCACACCGCACACCCAATGGCAGCCCAAACGGCACACAGCCCCACAAGGCTGCTCCCAGGCAGAGCTCGAGCCCACATATTACATTCACTAGGAGAAGAAGGGCCAAATCACACTTTTGCCAACACGCATAAAACACATTTCATCAAAGTTCTGCAGGCTAAAAACAAGAAAATAACGCAAACCCGTAAACTTTGTACACGTTTGAGCACGTGTTATTTGGCCCTTTTTTTCCTAGTGATTTTGCTCCTGCGGTTCCAAGTTCGAACACAACTGTCCTTGCCAAACGGCAGAATCAAACACGACCTGTTTTCTTCCCGTCTCACCACCACCGGCCTGCCTATTTGCAACTCTGAGATCCACCCCATCACAATCTCATGCCCAGTCAGCGCATAGTCACTTACAAAACGCGCCACTGATGTACTTTCGCACAGAAACCAGGCTGAGGTATGGGCTACCAGAACACGGGCTCTCATCACTAAAACACAATGATCAGGCAACAATATAAAGAGAGAAATCCGGCATTCCAGCACCAATCTCACCACATAGCGTTTTTCCAGAAAAAGTTATGTTGTCTCACACAACGCGAGTGTAAAGGAATCCCATGAACCAAACCAGGTCAAAGAACGCGGCATAACATGATAGAAGTTCGTCAATATTTGCAACGATATGTAGTGGCGGTCGGCTCAGGCAATCCCATACAAAAGCAAACACTCGTTTGAATGCAGAGCAGTAGCTAGCCAATAAGCGTAATTGCAATTGCAGTAACTTGCGAATAAAGGGACCATCAATGCAACTACACATTTCCTCATGAACGGAATCATAATCTGTGCGCTGTGAGCGTGAACAAGGCATTTGCAGTGTTTGGAAATACAAAACTAACAGTTGAGCAACGATGTGACAGGCGCATGGTGAAGCTTCAATTAACTTCGCCGCTCAATACGTCTTGCCGTTCGTCAGGCCAGGCGTGCAGACTAAGTCTAGTCGCGAAATTCAAATTTCTGTGGCAGCGTAGCTACCGCAATAGCTATTTCGCCCGTTCCTTCAAGCACAACGTCCCCTCTTTGTTGCTCCCATGCACAACGTTCATCACACAAGTGTGTCTTTATCTTTCTGCATTCTCCATGGATTTTTTCCAACCTCCACGTATCACATCAACCTCAGTTACAACACATTCCATTGGACTACCCGCAGCCCGCACTCGACTGGTTGCTGCTGGTGGGCTCCCCGCGCAATTGGCAACCTCTCCAAACAGAGCAGAACTAATTGCAGGCGTTTGCCTTCTGGTGTTCGTGCAACACTGGGATTGCGCGCGGGCATTTTCCCTCCAGTCACATCACAGGGCGCATTCCACAGTTTCTAACAGCTGTTTCATTTCTTCGAAGGTTGGATGGGCACCGCGAAATACAAGCAGTGCATGCAGGCACTGCGCTGGACCTTGGGGGATACTTGTTTGAGGGACGTCGTGAACATGAGCAGGTCGAGGGCCAGCCGTATGGAGTGGTCATCGACGAGAAACTCGTGGAGACCATCAATGGATGGATAAGTGAGAGCCCCTGCCAGCAAAACTCCAGGTGATTTGGACAGGGCAACGGCCTTTTGAGAGCTTCTGCACTGGATCCAGCATTCACGTTCATCTCTCCACAAGCCCAGATTCGTAGAAGGTGAATGCGCTTGACGACCTTGCCTTTTCTGGGCGAGATTTTTCGGCCCGGCATGATTTCCAGCCAGCAGGCGATGCTGTGCCACCGAGTGGGGAGGTCATTCAACAGCCTTGCATGCGCTCCAAAGGCACTCAACAGGCACGCATCGGTTGAGGTTGGCGCTTTCAGCAGACAGGTGCATCAGTCATTCGACGGAGAGCAGGTGAACGATGATAAGGAGGCTTGAGCGCTCGAATAATATCTCCCCAAGCCTTCCGAAATCAGCATTTTCCCTCTCATTGTTGAGGAGAATATGATATGCTGATCGGCGATGGTGGTTGGCATATTGACACCGGGAGTATGCAGCAACAAGTGCGCTGTGGACTCTGCAGGTCTCAGCTCGCAAACTTCAAAATGCTTTCAAATAAGTTCCACAATCTCATTGGTTAGCTATGATTGTAGATACATCTTGGGATAAAAACTGCGAGCAGCTTGGAAAGCATGCAAACAAGGACTTCCGAGATTCTGAAGACCACTGATGGAAGTGCGTGCAGTCTTTGGGTCGCGAGTCTCTGGGGCGTCGTAGATTTCAAAGCCTCGGCAAGGGGCATTGACAGGGCAGGTCCTCAGCTTGATTCACACCTTCTTGGCCGATCGCAGCAGAGGCTCCTCAACGGGGGCACTAAAGTAGTTTGCCTCAGTTAGGTGAGTTGATCTCGCTGGATAATGGCTGTAGCTATTAATTAGGGCCAAATTTAAGTTCGGAGCGTTTGGTAGAACACACACTACTGAGTGCAGAAACATTGTGGCTTTGGCAGGACGATCCATGACTGTAATCCACAGCCCTGTCTATTGGGTTGGAATATGACGTGCGTGATCTCACACATATCCCCTATGAAAATATGCATCAAGGAAACGGAAGTGAGCACAATATGTGCTCCACGGCAGCATGAACAGATAACAGAATGATTTTCTGTCATTTCATACACATGGCATAGGTCATCATTCGCCATGTTTCAATGCGGCATTGTCCATTGCTGTTTCAACATTCATATGACAGAACGGCACCACCATGTATGGCCGAAGCGGCAACTCATGCACACTCGCACTTTCCATCAGGACACCAGCACGCGAGGCATAATGCTCCCAACCAACCTAGCCAACCTCGTGTATTCTTCCACCTGAGTTAGAAGGGGTCAGGCACTATGACCATCCGCTCCATCATAGCACCGATGCTGCACTTGCATCCAAATCCGCTGCAGTGCACTGAAGATCGTGGCTCTGAGCACTGCCCCTCTCTCATTTTCCCCAACATGCCAGGGCTGCACCATCCCAGCCATGTGCAACATGTATGCAAAGGAGAACGACCTTCTTCAGTCCTTCTTCCCCGCTTGCTTCTGCTTCTTCTGGAGAGCTCGCTCTCGCATTTTGCCCGCAGATTTCAGGGCGAAATTCTGCAGGGAAGAGGCAGGTATGCTCGAAAGGATACCCCTGCAGCAGGAATGTATACCCTCATCAAGACAAACTCACAACACTTATGGCCAAACTGTTCAAACCTGTGAGAGACAGGACACAGATACCGCAGCTGTGGCTGCTGCCTCTTGCATCCATGGCAAGATAATGACGGACAAACGCTCTCCAACCATTTGCACTGCCTGGTGATGTAAGACACCACAGACAAGAGGTTGTGGTCACACAAAGGGGCATGTGAACAATGCATGGAAAGCAGCACCAAGCTTGGTGCCTTTTTCCTTCCAAGTAACATTTATATAGATAAGCTCCATATTGCTGAGAGACCGTATTTCCTCTATGCAGCTACAGCCAGGCATTAGCTGCAGATGCAGCCTGGCACTAGAATGGTAAAAGCAGTCATAGCTTTCTTCATTTATCAAAGCAGATTTGTGGTTCCAGCTTCAATCCACTTTGCACAATATCAAGACCAAACACTGTCCTGCTAAGGATTTCCACAAAGGACTTTTTCAAGTACAACTGCTGATGCATTTTCTCCAGAACATTCATTCAGCCAGGCTGCCATCATGCTGCCAATACTACTCTTACCACATGATGTTGTGCACTGAATATCCAGTTGTCAGAGGCTCGTATCCAATCTGCTTGATTGCACCGGCGACCCAGGTGTTGGGGGAAGGAATCGTCAGCTGTGCCCTCCTGCGCACAAGAAACGGCACCATGCAAATGTCAGAACATGTGAATCTTGTGAACAGCTGGCCACCGGCGTGGGGAGATGTGTCATGCCATGAATTCATTTGTGTTCAGCCGTGTTCATCCCACTGCCCATTCTTTTCACTGTAATTAACATTACACTGCAGGCCGCTGACATGCTGCCGGTGGAATACACACTGCAGATGCCGAACACCCTGCAGCATACAACAATAGCAGCTAACCAGTAACTCCACAGTCATCACCATCAACACGCAATCCTCCAGAAACACCACTGTTCGCAACCAAGCAACCATTGCCAGCCAGATAGCACCACTCGCGATGTCTTATGTGTGTACACTGAGGGCACCGGAGAAGCGGCATGTCCAGGAGGGCAAAACAGCTGACATCACATTTGCGTTTAGACTCATGTGCAGGGCAGACCCTCAGAGGAATTACCGCTGCATGTTGCCCTCCATGTGCTGCAAATTCACCAAAGTTTCTATATTCTACAGCAGTAAGGCACAATGCTGTGTGAGTCCATCATTGGACGAAGGGCACACCGGGCCAACGACTACCACCTGCATAGTTGGCCTCAGTCCTGTGGCAGCCATTACCACTAAGCAGCAGCAGTGGATGATACATACCTGATCTTTGTCATCTTTGTTGCCACAAACAATGGGGCTTGATCTTGGAAGCGAATCCCCTGCTTTCTGTACTCCACATCGAGGCATTTCGTTAACTGCTCAATGTAAGCCTACCACAGCACATTTGCAAATTGTCAGAAAGGCAAGTTTTCGATCTCCAAAAACTAGGATGTGTGCTGTTCAGTGCTTCTAGTAATGGCTTTTCAACACCCACCATTCGTTTGACCTGTTGCTGTGCTGCTTGTCAGTACACCATGTGCAACAGCTGGCATCCTCAGTCAGCAATGCACCAATGCACTAGTTTGAAAACGAACCTGGTTTGGGCCACTTGTGCAGGTTGCAGGCATATAAACAGATCAAGAGTCTTAACCTGTATGGTCTTAACTTAAACCATACAAAGCAGAAGAATGGATTGGCCTTCATCGCATTGTACAAGTCCACTGATAATTCCTTCACATTGACAAAATGCAACAGCAAGCATAAACAGCAGGAAATAAAAGAGAGTGTTAGTGAGTGCATCGGAATCGCGCAACAGCCATTCAGTGTTGCTCGGGGCAAAGACTGAGCCCTAAGGCAGTGGCATCGGGGCAAGGCAAAGTCGAACCTTTGTTCCAGCATATGCAGCAAGGAGGGGACTGGCAGGGAGCACAGATCCCACTCCACTGCCAAGGCTCACAACCAGCCCACGCTTCCGCTCCACCATTCCAGGCAGAACTGCCCTTGTCATCTGCAGGAGAAGCATGGAAAATGGGTCACAATGCAGTCCACAAGAGCAAAGTCAAGTAGTTGGCGACCATGTCGCTTGTGCCCTTACAAGTTGCAGATCATGGTAAAATGTGCCGACCTGGAAAATATGATAAAGTTGCAGATCGAACTATGAATGAATGAAACCTACAAGCCGATGTTTGAAGAAATGCAGACCAGAGCACGTGCTCTTACAACTTCAGTGTGATCTCCTTGGAGAATATTTGTGGATGGGTGCAACAAACAACAACAGGATATTGAGGCTCATCAGATGTGCGTCCATGAAGCACAACAAATGTCACATTTGGGCAGTGACACGGACATAGTTTACCAGACATACTGAAAAAAGCAGTTGACATGGGTGCAATGAACCGTGGCGATTTGCTGTGATTCCTTATCTGCAGGGCCCCCTATAAGTCCCAAATTTCTCTTCTTTGAGAAGGCACATAGATTATTATGGAAATCAGAGTTGTGAATACAAAATTGATACTTGCACAATGGATCTACCTGTCATGGCCTGAAAATTAACAACATCTGGCAAGCAGGTAAAAGCAAGTGTTGTTCGAATGCAATGGGACATTTGCAGATCAAAAACACTCCAAACGTAAATTCTCCTTCCATTTTAGAGCCAATTTCAGCCTCAGGGATCCCTATGTTGCATTGATCGTTAATGGATTGTGCACCACCATACTGTGAACTCTAAAGGGAAATTTGGGATCTTGTATGTTGTCATTATTTGAGGTCCAGAGATGTAAAATGCACAGAGCCTCCAAGAGCCGGAAGCGGTAGCTGGAGCCGGAGCCGGAAATACCCCGAGCCTGATCTGATTATCCACCCTGTCCTCTGCCAACTATGGCTGTTGGTTGGGCATCCATGCTGACAACCACTGAGATCTGTTGTTCAAAATTGCTTTTGAAGGAGACAGTGGTGCCCTTGGAGGCAATGACGGCAGGTACACATCCAAGAACATTTGCAGACAACGGTATCATTTGCTCCTGTGTTCTTCAAAGGCAGCAAAGGCAGTGTGCTGTAGATTGGCACATGCGCCCCTTGTTACTCCAAACTGTCACGATCTGCTGTCGTTTGTTTGGTGTGCATGAGTTGGGCGGTCATGGTGATCCCACCCAGGGAATGGACCCCCAGGAGTCCCAATGTTATTGCTTGATTTGTGGACACTGGGCAGTCATGGTGTTACAGCCAGTCAAGAATCCCTGGGCACCATCAGCGCAAAGATCGTGACTGTAAGACTGTGTCTTCACCTCTGTTGTCGCGCGGACGTTGATCTCGATCAGATCGTCGATGGTCTTGTCGTCCACGAAGTGCAGGTATTCATAGTGCTCATAGGAGGTGCCCACATTGTTAACCAGCAAAGCGATGTCGTAAGCCTTCAGAGTCTCCCTCAGCTTCGTCCACGTCTCCTTGCTCACGCTGGAGTAGTCCACCGCCATGTACTCCGTCTCCACGCCGTACTTCTCGCTGATCTCTTTGCAGCAATCCTTGAGTTTGGATTCCGTCCGCGAGATCATGAACAGCTTGAGGCCTGCAATCGGAGAACGGTCGTCGCGAGCCAGTCTCCTCCAATGGCGGAAGTTGTCTCGCAAACGCTCGCGATAGTCTTCAATCTGTGGGTCTTTAGGCCAAAGGAGGCCTATTCGTCCTCTATTAACGCACACCGCCCATGGCTACCGCGATTCGCCTCAACCAAGCAAGAGATCATCCCCACAAGAGCGAAAAAAATCCCGGCCGAAGGCACCGCACCGTTCCTTGTTTACCGAAGTGTGAAAATGATGCCGCAAGAAAGCAACAGGCGTGCGAGGAGTTGCGAAGCGGGCGCCAAGCCTGCAAGATTCGAAGGCCCGCTAGATCGTTAGCGCGCCCCAGGCTTGGGATCTCGGACTGGAGCGCGGCCTTCGGCGCGCGCGCACCTCTCTTCGCGAGCTCATTGCAGTACGCCTTCCCAATGCCGTCCGTGGCGCCCGTCACCACCGCCCACGTCCCGAACTTCTTGAAGTCGATCTCACCGCGCAGGTAGTTCCGGTAGATCGACATGAGGGCCCTCGATGCCAGCGACAGCGTCGAGGCCAGCCCGATGCCCATGCAGGCGAGCACGCCAAAGTTGAAGAAGCTCGAGCCGGAGGCCATGGCCCCCGTGAGGGCCTCCACGGCTGCACTGAGCACCATTGGATCCCGGTGTGCAAAGGGTTGGACAGTAAGCAGAGGGACTGCAACCTCCAGAGGGCAAGCGACGCTTGCCGCACAGGGCAACGCTTGCGTGCGCTCGCAAAAGGTCGGGCTGAAAATCGCTGTGCTGGCGCAGAAAGTGGGCGTGGGGGGGTGGGAGCAGCGAACGGAGGGGGTGTGATTAGACGGCTGGGCGCCGACACACCTGGCGTCCCGCCCCCCTTCATACTGGTACGAAGGGACAGTGGCCGCGATCGAGGTAAAGATAGGCCAGTATGGAGCATTTTTCTTGGATTTCTCAAATATATGTTGGATTAGTGTGCTTACTTAATATGCACGTGCTCAGTGGACGCTGACAGATTGCATGATTGCACCAAAGTCAAGATGAGGCAGGAAGGGACTGGGACGGCTTTCACGGTGTTCAAAAATGCCCTGGCACACACCATCATCGTTGTCCATGACTGCATCCGTTTCAGACGTTGCGCTTTTGGCGGGCTATAGCTGGTCCCTTGTAAGCATCACAGCACAATGCACAACACACCACCTGCGCACGACTTTGAGAAATTGCACCCGCAGCTGAGCTCTTCATCACAATAACCCTTCTGTAGAATGAATATCAATGCTACCCAGACGGCTGTCTCTGATATTGCCAGGTGTCATCTAAGTCAGACAATCAATTGCTCATTTCGCATTTCATGACGATGGCCCATGCCCCACATCCACACTGAGCGCTGCGCAACGAACTGGCACGTGAAATGCACACGTGGGAACATCCCGCCCGTTGTACAATGTGGGCTTCTTGTCACTCCACCATGCCATCGGTGTCTCCGCCTGGTGCTTCGCAGCGTAACCAACGTCTTTGCACAGTTGTCAGCCGCGACATTCCCCACATAAAAGGTTCAAATTGATGCGCTGAATGCATGAGAGATACGGCGAAGAGGGTATGCACAGCTGTCTAGGATGAGGTGCAGCATGGAGAGGTGAAGTGTGACCACATCTGGGGCCTGTCTCAGGCGGCATAGCCAGGTGCTGCGAGCTGTCAGTGGTGAATCTTCCATGCTGCGTAGTCGGACCGCCGGTCTGTTGGTGGCTCTTATGCATTGAGGATTCCTGACACCCCGCTGCAAATGCGAACCACAGCTTCACTTGGGGAGGTCGATCGTTTTGGAGTGTCGCAGGCAGCCCGCTTCAGATGGCCATGCTGCACTTCGTCACGGACAATGCCGCTGGCACATTGGGTCACCACAGGCGAAGTCTGAGTGAGTGAACGGCGAAGCTTGAAGACAGTTATATATCCGTTCTTGCCATGATGTGCTGTATTTTGTTAAACCCTTCCGCATAGCAATGTAACGCTTGGCCCGTTTTGCGGAGCAACATTAACAAAATAAATAGCACTTTGAAAGAAAAATGTGGAGCCAAATGCTCAAGGGTGAAATTTCTGAATGGAAGGGTTGAATACTATATGGTATCCTGCGGGGCCATGTATGATCCCATGCTGGGGCTCATCAACATGAAGTCGGCCCCAGATGAAGGGCATGTGCGAACATATTTTCCGTGCGCCTGATGTCGAAGCTTCACCCGCCATTGTGCTGAACTGATCTGGAGCGGGATTCCAACAGTCACACCAGTCCAGTAGACAGCACTGAGTATGGCTCCACAGTCGTCGGCGTCGTTTCCACTCAACTGGTAGCCATCAAGGGGCATCGAATTTGCCAGTGTTGAGCTTGGCATAGCTGACAAACTACAGACTGCTTCCAAAATTTACCATCACATTTCACATTAAAGTTTTACCTGTCATGTTGCGAATCAAAAGCTAGTGTTGTTTCAAGTTGCATCGGCGGCGATCGAGGGCGAAAGTGACGCACGGCAAATCTTTGGTCGTGACCACAAATGGGCTGGGTCTCCGCCGTGATTTCGCAACCCAAGTTGAAGATCTGATGCGAACCCCATCTGCAGATTGTGCGCGCAGGGATCGTGCCTGCCAGGTGACTGAGAGCCCCGAAAAGAAATCCCATGAAATGTTGACGGCGCTGCCACAGCGATGGGAACGCGCACAGGAACGCAGTGTTGAAACAGAGGCCCACCTTGTCATGTCTTGGCCTTGCACGTAAACAACCAGTTGCTCCACCAGAGCCTGCAAGACCACGTGTAGATGGTTTTGGTGTGCGGCTGTGGGAATCTGCAGGATGCGAGCTGGACGGGCATGAAAATCATCTGGATCATCTGGATCATCAGGATCATGGTGGGAGTCTCATTTGGGCACAAGCCATTGAAAGGACATGCGGTAGCCGAATCGCATGCAGACCCGATCACCCCCAATTTCACCTCCAGCCGATTTGTGACTACAGAAACACGGTTGCTGTGACTTGAAACGGCGTCATCCCGCTGGGGAGAGGCACGCTTCCATGCTTCAATCAGATTCACCTGCACAGTGTGATTGTTTTGGGATATTTGCTGAGACCAGTGCGAAAGCGGGAGTATCCCGAATGGCACTGGGGGTGTATTGCAGTTGCCCACAAGCTGCCAAGGATGCAAATTTTGCAATTGCAGCAGCTGCAAAGACTTCTCAACGCGCACTTTCATGCCATGGCTGTCGTTTGTCTTCTTCAGCACACTGCGCAGTGACCCATCCAGTGCAACCCATGCTGCCATGCAGTCATGGAAATCACAGAACGACACAGCTCCCAGAAACTGTACCTCGACGACCTGTGTGCAGCCACATCGACTAGCATTTCCACAACTTGGTCACAACCGAGCATTGAACCAAAGCCAACGCAAGCAAAATTTTGTGGTGGCATTGTTCAAGAACACGATTGCATCATGCACCACACCCAAATAATGAGGGGTCTGCAAATGGACACAGATGATCTGGACGCCTCGGTCCTGTGATGAATTTTGAAATCACATTTAGGTGGCAGACAATGCTTGTGAGGCCCTTTTCCTTGGGCAGGGCACTTCCACTGCTGACACAAATAAGGGGCAAGAGATTTTCGCGACTTCACTGCACATTGGAGACACTGCCGCCCATACAAGTGAACAGGACACTTATGCCAACAGCTGCGCTCCAGAATCCGAAAACACACTTGTGGATGCTATCAACCACTCACTTGCAGCAGGGAAAGGAGCAGCTCCTGGGGCCAGCCCACAGCTACCAGTCTCTGCAATTCAATCATGTCGTTGATGGATACATAACCTACAGAGACCAGCCTCTGGGTTCATACCAACTGCCTTGTGATTCATTGCAAGGTGGCATTGGAGAGTGCTTCACTGTTGTATAGGTGCTGCAAAATAATGACATATATGGACTTTGTCTTATCAGATGCTGTTTTGTGGCATGGCCAAATGTGCTGCGATACTTTGGGAAAGCACTGTCGCAAGACACACTGCAATTCAAGCTGTCGCCATTTTCCTCTTATGCAGGTCAGCATGAAGTTTTCACATGGCTATTTCGTGGCACGCACCACCAGCTCCCCGCTCCAGAATGGAGTAGGCACAAGAAATGTTGTCCGCAAAGTGACAGGATCCTGGCTGGTTGAGGCAGACATAGCACAAAGCCTGGGACATGGTGTCCCCTCCGTATGCCAAACTGTGGAAACTGGAAACGGAATCCACTTCAGACGGAGTTCTCATGGAATCTTTGCAGGGAAACATGATTGCAGTTGATAGTTCGCTCAATCATTCGAGCAGCAATTGGGTCATCTCCGATAAAGAGACCACACAAATTCAACACAGAAGCCATGAACTCTTGCTCGAGGGATCCCTTGATGCGAACGCAGAAAGGCTTGCGTCGCACCGTCCCCTGGAATTTTTGTGCTCCCCTGAAGTTCACAGATGTCCAAGCGCGGCGCCTGGGTTGGAAACTCACTGAGCTGCCAGAAACGCCAACGGATCCTTGGGTCGCTTCTCCAGGATCAGGGCCAGCGCCTCTTGGAGCTTCTGGGAGAAGCCGGAATGGTCCAAGGCCGCGAAGACTAGACAACACACCATCACCAGGCCATCAAGGCGGTGTTTCCTTCCATTCAGATAACGGATGGATGCGAACCGCTCGCCGTCCACCAGCTTGTCCTGCAGCTCGATCCACTGCATCTGCACCGGGATGACTCCGACGCCGCCGTGCATTTGGGCTTGCGTGACGGCAAGAGGGACCAAACAAGGAAGAGCGCCAGAGGGTGTTGTAAGAGCGGACCCTTTGCAGTCGCCGCGGCTTCTTTGGCTCCTCGTGCATTGCTCGAGGCGTTGGATGAGGCCATACCGCAGGCAGGTAAGGTTGGGCTCTGTCTATACAGACTCGATGAAGGGGATGGCCGGACAGCTGGCCCCTGCTGTTGGCCAGGCTGGCATGCTTTGGGGGAGGTTTCTGTTCCCTTTGTGGCTGTTGGGTGCGTACTTAATTTGATGCAGTCGAGACACTATTTTTGTCTCCGGCTGGTGACGTCGATATGATTGAATTTAATGAGCTTGGCACGTTGGCCTTGATGTTTGACGGGGCTGGAATCTCGTCTTTTAGTGCTTGACAGCATCCGTAGATCTTGAGGGCATCAAAAAGGCGAACAGACCTTGTATTTGAAACGGCTGGCCGTGTGAACGGCGCTGCTCCGAGCGTGTTCCTTGGGGTTTTCGACGGACTTGCCACGCGTGTGACGAGTGCGGACGGCTCCAAATCAACAGCATAACGTCGCTCCTGTTTCAGTGGCATGCCCAGCGCTGTTTTGTTACCTTCTTGACATGTGCCAGTTTCTGCACAATTACGCCATTTTAGCTCAGTGGGTCAGGCCCTCCTGACCCACCTGGGGGGGCCCGTTGACCCTGCACACAATGGCAGCAGGATATGCCTACCCTGAGCAACCGCAGGGACAACCAAGAGATGCCTCACTGCGGTGACCTTGAAACCGCCATGGGCCACTCTTGACAACCATGTTGCGGTGTTCCGTGCCGCAAAAGTCGGACAGGAATCTTGATGAAGATCATCAGAATGCCCGTGCGCGGGATGCAAGGGAGACCAAGGCAGGCGTCGGACTAGACTTGGACGACTCGCGGAAGGTGCTGCAACGCGAGAACTCCACCGTCTGCGCAAAGAAGGGCTCGATTCAGTCGCTTTCGTTTGGCTGGCGATTGTCGCTGCTGGGGGGATGGCGCAACACTGGTTCCTCCACTACTGCAAGTCTCTCGACCCATGCCAACGCCACGAAAGGACTGTACACCTGGATCTGCCGTCTGCTTGACAACGTGGACGCGCCTCTGGAACACCCAACTGCAGTGTCCGCCGCGTGGTTGGCTGCTCGTGTCAGGGGCGAAACGACCCAAGCGTGACGCATTTGTGTTTCTGCTGGTGTGCTAAGAATAAGTCTGGCACTCAAGCAAGAAGTTCCAAACCCAGGGATCCCAGACACCTGTGGTTGGCGCGACGACGTTTGCGGTTTGGAGCTGTGTTCCAATAACAACTGTAATTTGTCAAGGTGTTGTTGTCTAGCATGGTAGCTGTGAACATATGCCGGCTCACCGCAACAAAGGCGCCAGAAGCTGCAAGTGCAGAAGAATGTGCAGAGATTTCAAAATAAGCACCGCTTCCATTGTGTGGATAGCGGTATGCTGAGATGTGCACCCCTCATCGGCAATGGCACAAAGATCATAAGTGTCGCAGTGTTGAAAGAAAGTAATGTGCCAGATACTGTGAAAACTGGAGTAGGTATACCCATGCACAAACAAGCAAGATCGCTGGGTCATTGACATGATTGCGTCGTTGTGACAGTTCGTTTGGTTTCTGTGTGCACCACACACGTACACAAGTGGAGCTTGTGCCACAGGAGCTTTTGGAGTGCATTCAAGGCATTGGAGGGCAGCAATACATCAAACAACTACCATAGATGGCTGGCACTTCAAGAAGAGGCAAGCTGGTATGTTGTGCCTGTGCATTGCATGCCCTGCACAATGGAGCAAGGACCGTGATGATCGTCTATTTTCCCTGATTTCAAGCCTGGCCTTCTGTCAATCTACCTTTGCACACAAATCATGACATTTTCATGCTCCTCAGGTTGGAAGAATTGGGGATGTCTGTATGTTATACGCATCTCACATCTCTGCCAATGGGTAGCATCTGTGTGCTACCCCAGGACTCCAAAGCGTACCTGTGTAGTGTCCAGATTGTCCATCTTTATGGTTGGCTATGTGTGGACGCATTTGTCACAGCGCCTGACGTTTTTGATTTTGTTGAAGCTGACTTCAACAACAGCTTCCAGCATTATCAATAACTGTTGAAGTGGGTATGGTGCAGCTGGCAAAACTGCAAAGCAGTTGCCTGTGTGAACTGCTCTTGATGGACACCTGCATGAAGTTGTGATGGCTTGTTTGGCATGCAAATACAATGCTTAGGATGAGAAGGACACCATGGGAGAGGCTGAGGAGAAGCGACAGAGGAGGGCATCAGAGGAGAACAGCAGGCTCATCGATCGAGTGGATCGAAGCTGGCAACCACATGCGGGACAATGCCTTGAACAACATGCAAACCTTTCTCACAACCATAGAGAAAGGGAGTCCCTGGAAACACCGCTGAATGTATCAATAGATTCTCTTGTGCATGATTTCGGTCAATTTGGACTTCACAACAAGGAAGTCAGCTGCAGAGAGAGTTCTGGACAACAGCAGGATTGGAAGGGTAGAATGGGGGACGATGGGGAATCCAATTGGCAACATAACAGGGAGAAGATAGAACAACGGGAGCGAGAACAAGAGCTGGAACACCATGATAGCGTTTTGTGGTACATGATGGTGCACTCGAAGCCTCATATCTTTTGGCGTGGCCACAACAATGCATGGAATTACGGGACGCCTGATGGCCGGATGGTGACTGCAGGTGGTGGAAAATATTACTGCCAAGGTGTGACAGCCTGCATCCAATGCAGAGGGGGATGGGTGAGGCCACTAAGATTGCTGAAGCCACCCGGGTCTGCTGACTACAGTGACAATGAGAGGATTAGGTGGATTGGAGATGAAAATTCTATCCTGGGCGTCATGCCAAACAATTTCGGCAGTGCTGTGCATGCAATGCTACGCAAAGCCTTTTCCCTGGGGGAGTATGGCAACGCCTTAGACCTTTACGGGCCACACTACGGCCACAAGACACTAGCAGCAGATGCATTCATGGGGGGGACTCCCTGTGCAGAAAGAAGCAGCATTGCTGCAACAGATGCAGCTGTGGCTGCCATCCAGTGCCTGTTGACAGATAGTCCAGGGCGGCGAGTCGCTGCTGTCGAGTATGTCGTCACTTCTGTAGTCCAACGCGAGCTGGGCTGGGATTATCATCGTAAATCAGAGCAAGGACCCAACTTCCTCATGGGCGAAATCGACCTGGTTCTCACGTGTTGGAGCAAGGGAAAAGAGCCCTGTGCCGCCCTTGTGGACTACAAAGTTCGTTCAAGAAAACCAACAAACTTAGTTCCGGATACCGTACAGGGCGGTGGACGATACATTTTGCACACTGACTGGATGAAGACAGAGGACGCTGCGCAGCTGATGTGGCTGTCGATTCTCTACACAATGCAGACGGGCGTACCGGTTTCCGAAATGTGGGTCATCGACGTGTACCCAAAAGGTCCCTATGGTGTGAATGGGGCCCAGTATTGTAGAAGGGACTGGAGCGTAGACTTTTTTGCCATCGCCAGCAGTGTTGCATGGAGCGATGAGCTGATTGACGCGACAATGCCTGAGCGCTGGAAGGAAGTGAGCAAACTCCACAGCGAAAGCAGAGGCTCTGTGTTCCACAGAGCGATAGAAAAGAACAGGGACCTGAACGGCGGCAGCAATTAAAGCAAGCGCCACAGATATTCCATAATGTGCACAACCGATATATGGCGCAGCAGATGATCTGTACCTGTGGTCTAATGCGAAATGTCGAAGTTCTCTGTGGCATTGTCACTTTTCCGGGCTTGCTGTTGATTGTCTTGGGTACGATGCGGTGGGCAATATGTCACTACTGAGCATTTGGGCATTGCAACCGCAATCACCGTTCTGGCTATCTAGCTGGTGACCGCCTTATCGGCGGCCGTTGTGTATTCTTGTGGGTGTTGACTGCCCCTGATTTCGCAATTCGTGGGAGGCTGTTCTGCTCATTCCACACTGTCATGTAACATGTCATGTGATGGACAGATGCGCTTCCTGAACAATCTGATACCGGATCCGAGACTCCTTTCCATGCCTCCTGCAGGACCCGACGCAAAACGCACCATTCGCCTTCCTTCTGCGCATTTCAGACGGCCAAAAACGTCAACATTGCTAAATGTCCAATGTACCGCTTGGCAGATCACAAGGTCAGCCGGCGGTGATCGAGCTTGCAGTCCACAATCCTCCCATTGGACCATGCACCCAGACAGAATCCTGCAGCCAACGCCCTCCCCAGGGCCGCCAGAACCGTTTCTGGATCACGGCAATGATTCTGTGGTGGATAATGGAAACCCGATCGAGCTGACTGAGAACTGCCCCTATCCTTGATGAGGTCGGCCTTCGCTAAGAGTCCCCCTCCAGGGCGATCCCTGCTCATTTCCTCGGGTCAATCTTCTGCACACGACTTCAAGACCAATCAATGGTCAGAATTATTCTGAAGGCTGGCAGGACTCCAGTTCCCAGGCGCATGTCGCATGCCCTCCTTGGCCTGGAGCGGCTGAAAACTGGCCATTTATACAATTTTATTCCATATTAAATTCACGACTGAGGGTCCAATATCGCGAATTGTGGGAGTAAATCTTACACCAGGCGTTGCAATTAAACCACCTCAACAATGGACCGAATGCAGCTGTCTTGACAGTTTCATATTGTTATTTCACCTGTACCGGCAGCAAATTCTAGGCTAGTACATTAGCGCAGCACATCACATGTGGGGGACTTAGCTGTGCCCCACCCACCCTGCCATGGCCCGGGGCCAGGAATCCCTGATTCCTGGCCCCTGTGCTGAGCCACAGTTTCGTATTGTTATTTCATCAGTCTTGTGTTGAGCTGGCACAGCCCCGGCACTGGAAGCGACGACAACAGAGACACACGTGTCTGTGTGACGCCGCCGAATTGGGACCATTGAAGATGCCAATTTGCCGCAGCTACTAAGGAATTACAGTGCCATGGTGCAGTCCCCAGCACACAACCAATGCAAGCCCTGAGCGAAATACTCTCGGGCGACCTTTTCCTTGCATTTGCCACCACCAGGTACCAGATTCGAATCTTCGTCAAGAGCTTTTGACAGACTGTTGTTCTTGCGAACTGCTCGACCCAACAGCACTTCAAAGCTTGTGCAAAACGGCAAGCAAGCTTGAGTAATAGCGCGAGTAAAAGCTCGGGTAAGTTCGAGTAACTCGATTAACAGCTGGAGTAAAGGATCAAGAAATATCAAGCAAAACCTGGGCTAAAACCTCTCATCAAAGCCCGCGTAAACTTCTTTGCCTGGCCACCAAGCTGTGGTCACCAGCGGACAGCGTCGTTATCCCGCCTTTGCCCGTTGACCAGAGCACATTCCCGGGTATGTGAGAGCCTTACATCACGTGACCCTATCCCACACAACAGAGCGTAATACCTTTCCTACGGCCCTCCAGGCCGTACGTCACGCGACGGGGGCTGTGATCGCCCTATTACTGGGGCCCCTCCCCACCCAGAGCGCCACGGGTTATGGCCGTATATCTGTGCCGCCAGGGAGCCTTGGCACTGGTTCGCAGCAGCACCCCGACCGCACGGCTCTGCTCCCCAGCACTGGTACCGCGCTCGGCTGCCGCACGCGAACCCCGGCGGGCCCTGCGGCTGATGGCGCAGTCGGCCCACACCGCCCTCGACGAGACGAGCGTCAAGGGGGAGTTCAAGCGCGTCGAGTCATGCTTCCGGAATTTCATCGAGGAGGGGTCGCGGTTTGAGCCGGAAGGTGGGAGGAGGGGGAGAGGGCCCGGGGCTGGCGGTCGGGATGGTGCATTGGTTGGACGGGTTTCGTGCCACGTGTGCCTGACTTTCGTTTGCGCGTTTTCTGCCCAGCTGGGCGCTACCACCTGTACATATCGTACGCGTGCCCATGGGCGAACAGGTGCCTGGCGGTGCTCCGCATGAAGGTGAGGGCGGAGTGGGGTGGTTTGGGTGGGTTGGGTGGGAGGGGGGATGATGTGCGCTGGGGGGGTGGGAGGTGCTGACGTGGACAGATTTTGGGATTGGCTTGTCGGTGGGATATCCATGTTTGCTCTTGGGAAGTGCTGGCAAAACCGTGCGCTTCTGCCCGCGAGGTTGTGGCGGGCTTTGTTGTGAGGACGGGTGGCACCGCGGCTGCCCTACGCTGAGAGGCTTCTTCCTAGCAGTCGAGACACAGAAACGGCAAATGTTTCAGTTGCTGGCCGATCCCATTCGCCTCCAGTTGTTGCACTTGGTCCTTTCCACAGGTGGCGAGAATGCGGAAGTGCGGTTCCTGATCAATCTTTGTAAGAATGGTCGGCAAATCCTTGTCGTTCATTAACTCACACAAGCAGTAGACGTGTCTCGAGAACATGCTGGTCTTTTGCACAATGCTACGCCAGTCGCTTCCCAGGTCTCCATGCCCCAGGTTGAGATACTGTTCAGGAGTGTCCAGTACATCCGTGCAGTGCCTGCCTGTGGAACCGCATTCTCCCCTGATGAAAGAATTGTTATGAATGGGGATTGGCACTCCCTGCAGCTCGCGGAATACTTCAGGAAACAGTTGGAATTTCGGCCGTGCTCTGATCAGTCTTAGACACTTAAAGCACCATTTAAATTGATTGGCGATGCATAAAGAATGAAATGCAGTTGTTGGCCAGTTCAAGTTTATGGTAGTGTGGGTGTGGGAACCACATCAAGTGTTCCTTTGCAGCAAACAGGCAGGCCCAGCTTTGACTCTGAAATGCACAGCAGCAGTCATACATGAGCATTCTTGGAATCTGCCCTGTGTGTGCTTGTGGCTGCTGATCTCCTCACTCAAGAGGCTGTGGCACAAAATCTCAACGACAAACGTTTATCCACTGTTTTTTCCTGTGCATGAAAAGTGTCTTGATTGCTGTAACCAGGGGCTGCAAGACAGCATTGGCCTCTCCATCGTGCATCCAACATGGCAGTACACGCGGCCAGGGAAGGATGGGCATTCTGGCTGGGCCTTCTACGATCCCTCACATCCCCCCATTGCAAACGTGCTAGGTACAGATATGCCAGTGGCAGTATTTTCTTTTTGCAAAGGACAGAACAAGCCACAAGAAGACAGAACCAATCTTGGGAAGTGTACCTGTCATCTGCGGCCATGTCCCACACTGCGCGCTTACATGCACCCCAAGAAAGGAGCGTCACAATCCTGTGCCTGAGACACACGTTCTGCAAGACAGATGCCTGGGCTTTCCACCCCTCCGCTGCACAGCACTTGGTTGCAAGGTGGTGGCTGGTGACTGCAGCTTGCTGGCAGCTCAACCTGCACTCGACCACCAAAACGGGCCTGAAACAGTGACCAGGTGGCATTGATGCACATGCAGTTCCCTTTCTGCGCCTTGGAAGCATCCTTTCAGTAAAACTTGCTGTTGGGATACTCCAGCATTCGGCACAGACAACAGTGACGCCATGCGGTGCTTCATTTTGTGTTGCAGCTGACAGCCTCAGCCACTTGCACTGCAGGTTTTGGTTCCTTCGATTGTGACGGTTGCATCGTTGACTCCGTCAATGGCGCAAAGTTTATCAGAGACCTGTATGAGATGTCCAACGACACACTTGGTGAGCAGACACATCTTGTTGTTTGCTGTAGTGTGAATGCTTCATTGCACAGCTCAGTGCATGCCTGCATGAAATATACATAAATGCAAAACAGTCATAAATGCAGTTACGGACACAATGTCTGTGCATGAATACGATATTTTGTTCACAGAGTATGTTGTGCAAATGCTCAGTGCACACATAAATGGACTACTGGTGTACGCTTTGATCCGAATTTGACGTGTGGTACATCGAGGACAAGCGGTTCTAATGACCAATGGTAGCATGTGAAATGCCCATATACAATGGCATGGATGAAGCTGGGAGCCAATAAATTTGCGCATCATGATTCATGCATGCAAATTATGGGATGTCTGAGAATCTGCGTGCTCTTGTCGATGGATGCATGTCCGGTTGTGCAACTGGTCAGACATTAAGTAGTTTGATATCAATGCGATCGCTATTTTAGGATGTTCAAGGTGCTTTCAAATATGTGGTAAGAGTGTGAGCAAAGTGGCCGATGCACACAAGTTTCACCGTTTCCACTAGAAGCAGGGCTTATCTGAGGTTTAGTATTTTGCCACCACAACGGCACACCAAGCCGCATGTTCTTGCTCCTGCACAACGAACGTTCACAAGAAGGTGTGGCTGGGTGTGCTTCTGTTTGACATGGCCGAAAATGGGATGGACTTGCACGTGTTGATGACCCTGGCCATCTTTGCCTGTCCACCTTTTGCAGGCAAGTACAGCGTCCCAGTTCTGTGGGACAAGAAGGAGAAATGCATTGTCAACAACGAGAGCTCAGAGATCCTGCGCATGTTCAACAGCAAGTTCAACAAGTTTGCCGAAAATCCATACCTGGATTTGTGCCCCGAGTCGCTGATGGCCAAGATCGACGAAGTGAACGACTGGGTGCTCCCCACGATAAACAACGGGGTGTACAGATGCGGGTTTGCTCAATCGCAGGAGGCATACGACATTGCAGTCAAGTGAGTACTCTTCGCTGCAGAAGAAATGTCCGTTTCATGCCAGCTTTCCATGCTCTCAAACACGCTGTGGTGATTGATCCCAGCATGACCTTCTAATGAACTTCGATGTTAGATATCGACTATCAAAGTAGTATGGGTCAGTTTTCGAAGCAGTGCAATAAAATTTTTTTATCAGTGTTTTGGCTGACCAGCACATGTTGGTGCGTTTTGCAGTGCCGTCGAGACCCTTCATGTACTGTATACCCAAAAAAGTTCGCGGGAGCAAAATTTTTTCGTATTTCGCCCTCGAGCCGCTTTGCGAAAATTATTCCTCCGCGAAGTTTTTGGTCCGGCATACTTTTTTCGCCCGCGAACTTTTCGGCCCCCTTCCGCGGCGGGTCGGGCGCTGGGCGCGCAGTTTGGCCTCTTTTCTTTGCGCAGCGGCGCGCCAAGCGCGGCGCCCCCCGGCGAGCGGCAAATGCCGCGAAGAAGCCCTGGGCTGGCCAGCAGATCGTTCGCAGCATTGGCCATCGGCTGGCCGAATTTCCACGGCGCCCTATGGCTTCTGTGGTTGTTGGGCGCACTTCGAGGCTACAGGCGCGGTGTGGCTTGCAAAGCGAACGGTGACCGCAGCTGTGCCGGCACCGAGTCCGTCGAACGCGCAGGGACCGCCACCCGGGGACGGCCTAAAGGGTGGTTCCGGAGGGTCCAACCAAGTGAAGGGGTCTCCAAATTCTCGCTATGGTCGTCTCAGCACCCGCAAGGAACAGACCACCCCTCGCCGCCCACCCCTGCAGGGGGACAAGGCTGGCAGGGGTTTTCCGACGGATCAACCCCAACGGAGGGGCCTCCTGAATCTCCCCAACCGCCATCCCCGGTGCATCCCCCGCAGGGGGCCGAACACCTCTCGCCCCCCACCCCTCCAGGAGACATGTCAGTCCGTCCCCCAGGAGCATCTCCGCCGCAGATCCAGCCTCGCATCCTAGCCGTTGCCCCCCCGCTGGATCGTTCACACTTCTCCGCGCGGAAGCGGCTACCGAAACGGGGTCCGGCATCGCGCCATCGGCCTTTTTCTTGCGGCCGTGCGCTTCCCCGTGAGCGGGTCGACTTTCGAGGTGACGTTGGGCTGACTCCGCGCCGCGGGCGCGCGGGTGCGGCAGGCGCTGCTGGTGTGGGGCTGGGGCTGTTCTGTGGAGTTCGCACGATGAAAATGTTCGCGTGGCGGAATTTTTGCGGGGAAAAAGTCCGCGGGAGAATATATTTCTCCGCAGACTTTTCCCCGCGAGATACACGCAATTTTTTCTCTGCAGAATTTTTTCGGTATGTAGTGTTTGTGCTACGAGAGTTTGTTTGCCCTGAATTAGTACCTCCTCTGTCCAAACATGAATGGCGGTTACGATTGTGGCCTGGAACCATCCATCAAACATGTCCAATGGAGTTAAATTTTTGACCAGATATTAGACTGTGTGTCGATTGCTACTAACCTGACATTTAGATTGATCAGCCAAGTACTGAGGGAGATATAGTCCCTGGAATACGGACTTGTGACATGATGTCGTGCAAGTCTCAAGATGGCACAGGAACGGCCCTTGAACATGGAGTGCATATGGCACTCGTTTTTCACTGACATAGAGTGCATACTTGAGTAAGAAAGCGGCAGCAACTTAACTTGCCTCAGTTGGCAAGGAGCAAGAGCAGAACAGGAGTATTGGAGGCTGCTTTCAGGTGCATTTTGGTGATGCAAGGCTTTTTGGCGTGATGAAACGACCTGAGATTGAATTTCTGTGGTAGATGAGGGTGCTTCCTAAAGGTTTGGCACCTATTCTGTCCTTTTTGATAGTATTGTGTAGGTGTGAACAGAATTCAGCACTGATTTGCCGTTTTTGATAACCGCCATTCTTCTTGGGACAGAGGAAGTACGCAATATTGTTACATCCATTGCTCATGCAGACTATGGATATCAAACTAGACACAACCAATGCACTGCCATGATTGCCATGTGGTCATCAGCTTTAGCGCAAGGTGCATGGATAGAAATACTTGCAGCCGATAGATCATGAAGTTTGGTTGTGCGCTGCAGGGAACTGTTTGCCTCCCTCGATAGGTGCGAGGAGATCCTGTCGGAACAGCGCTTCATTGCCGGGAGCGTTCTGACAGAGGCAGACATTCGCCTTTTTATGACGCTCATCAGGTTTGACGAGGTGAGAATCCATCGTGGATATTCATATAGTAACAGTGGCTACCACTGGCGTCACAATATCGAGGGCAAATAGTGCATTGTGCAGCTGAAATTGCAGAGTATGTCCTCGTACATCTTTGTGCACGAAAGTGCAGCGAGAGACTGAATCTGCAGGTACAACAAGGTGATTGTGTGGCATGCTTTCAGACCTTTGTGCGCTGTGACGGAAAGTAACATTGTGCGGTTGTTGCCAGGTGTACATTGTGTACTTCAAGACAAATAAACGGGCGATTCGCGAGTACCCAAACATCCGCGAGTATGTAAAGGTGAGACAACAGCACGTGACCCAGGAGAGGGCACTGAAGCGGATACTGCACTCTGCTCATGCATGTCAAGGATTTGGAGACAGGACGGCATGTTCCTCCCCACTCTTGAAGCCATTTTTTCAGGCTCGGTGGAGTTGGGATGGGGCTAATAATAGCGCAAGTTCTCCATGCAATGTGATGGCAGAAACCGTTGCCTACGCGGTTCTGCCTAGTCGAGATGGAGACGGGTCACGCAAGAGATGTTTAATCAATTTCTTTGAATCGGAAAACAATGTTTGCCTTTTTCCCTGTTGAATCTGATTGGTGTGCTCCCAGAACATTTACCAAGTTCCCGGAATGGCGGAGTCAATCAACATGAAGCACATCAAGACTCACTACTACACCTCCCACCCCAAGCTCAACCACTATGCCATCATTCCCACCGGCAGCGACTATTGGTGGGAAGAGGCTCATGACCGCGCGAAGTTCGAAAAACACTGACTTCGTCCCAGTGTCACTGGAATCGCATTGCCGGGTTGTGGCACGAGCTGGTCGCGCCCTCAGATGTACTGTTGGGCTCCTGCACAGATGGGTGGTGTGTCGTTATTCGTGAATTGATGTCCTGATACTATTGGCCGAGCACCCTACTCTCCCTGGGAAGTGCGGGTACAGGTGATTAACTGGCTTGACTCTGGGGAGCTTTCTCTTGCGAGGTGTTGCAGGGCCACATTCTGTCCTTCGAAGCCGAGCTAATGGAATGGTATTTGGCTGGGGAACTTGCTTCCCCGGGGGGCTTTGAATAACAGCTGACTAGTGCAAGTTGCGACGCGCAGCTTCTGCTTTAAATGGCGATTGCGTCGCAATGAAGGACGCACCCATCGCTGAGATTGAATTTGTGTATGCCTGAATTTTTGACCACGCGATGTTGTGCATCGGAGTGAAGTGTGTTTCAACGCACACAACCGTATGGTACTCGCACAAGCTGGTGAACACGGAAGCGGAGCTTTTATCGATATTTGCAAACGGTCTGGCCCAAATGGCGACAACAGCGTTATGGGCGAATGTCTTGCTGCGAAGATCAATGTGCTGCATGTTCCTGAGAGGTGTACGACATTGGGTGGCCAATAAATGCGCCCAAGGTCGCCATGCACTTGGGGTTTAGTGGATTCCCCCAGCCATCAGAAAAGTGGCTTGAATAGCCCAAGTAGACTTCATTGGAACGGAAGAAATTCCAGTACAGTTGAGCAACTGCCACCAATCATGCACGATGCGTCCCGCTAAATCTCTTTGGGATGTGTACATGCACGGACATCGCAAGGAGGCCTAGCAGCCCACCCAACTGCCCAACATAAACACCAACACTTTGCCAGCTGTGGTTCGTTTCCCATAACGCAACAGTGACATTGAGTGTTCAACATATCGACAATAATGGCCATCAGTCTCAGGATACCCAGGTAGCGGAATTCCTTGGATTCACGAAAGAATGCAATCTGAATTCTGCACTCTCCTCATGGGTGTAGAGGCTAAAGATAGCCCAGGTTGAGCTTCAGCCATATCCAAACTCAGTGGAGATTAGGTCCATTCCAAACTGAAGCTCGACTTGGTTATTCACTGAGCATCACGCCGCCTTCAGTGCTGCAGCAGCGCTGCTCTTTTGACGCTACGAGAGGGCGAAAGATAAGACAGAGAGTAGGATGTACATCGAAGCTGCTTTCTCTCACAAGTATAGAACGCAATTTATGATGTACCTTGCTTGAGTGGATGCTGCTGTTAAGAAATTCATGGAATAAACACTGGTGTTGCATCAGTTCCAGCTACCGATACGATTTGCCAATTGCATCGTGCGTTGCTTTTCCTTAGCCTTCATAAGGAACAGTTCCATCGGGCGCAGTTGTGCAAATTCTACACAATATGTCGTTCATGAATGACTGACGTTCAGGCGATTTCGCACTGCTGTTGATGATGCACCAACCCGCCGAGCAGCTCTGGAAGGTGCCATAGCCGCAAGCGCTTCCAAATCTCCTGCCATTTCGCCAAATGGAATAATGTGGTATGTCCCGACTCGGCTGACAAATTGGAACATAGACAAGATGAACCTAATTGAAATAACAAGAGACGGGCGTACCTGTAGTCCGCCTTTTATTCATGGATCCACGGGCTTTGGTTGGCGGAAAGCGAGCCAGGCGGAAGTTGTGTCACCCACTTTGGGTGCTCTACGCTGGTGAAGCGGTTTCACAGGAGAGATCAGCACACGTTCTCCTGGGCAAGCCGCCGAGATGCGCATGCTGCATCGGCCCTTCAAGCGTAGAGGGGACGCTTGCGTCGAGTTCCCACTCAACGACTTGTAAAGTCTTTCCGGGACAAAACCTCGATGAAGTCGTACGAATGAATCAAGAGTGACCGGTGTTTCGTCCACTGCAACATTGGAACCAGCGTCACTTAGGTTGGAGAGTCTGGCAGTTGGCGGGTTACAGCAAAGCAAGTTGGTGCATCGATTAAAAGCCGACTGCTGCTCGACGACAGCGGACCCGGATGCCTGTCATCATTGATGAGAGACAATTCGCCCCTGCATTCCGAAAGTGCGCGCGCAAATTTGCCCACACATACAAATTTGTATGTGTGGGCAAATTTGCGCGCGCACTTTAAAGTGCCTCTCGCCAGTGACCAGAGGCAAACGAGTCTGCTGGTAATGGCGCAAGAGATACTGCAGTGCCTCCTGCTGTGATGGTTCTGCGTGCGTGCCTCAACCATCACGAAGGCGAATGCCCTTTGTCACGGTTGAGACACGCATGCAACACCATTGCCCTAACGTAGCGTTCTGTACCGCCAACTGTCATGGCATATCACATACAAACGCAATTGCTCATGTTGCTTTGGGGGGAGCCCTATATTGGACAGCCCCAATCACTGTGGACACAAACGTGAGCATATATGTCTTCTGTGCGCCAATCAGCCATTCGATGTCCGACAGGAAATTCGCATGACACCACGCAGAGTGCTCTGTGGGAAACGAGTATCGCTGGCAGTAAATTAACGTCAGCGTTAACACCACATCCATTTGGTGCGCTAGTTGGGACCTGTGCCTTTGGGCCTGGATTTCAAAGCAGATTGCTCCTACAAGGGTGTAGCAACATATCCACAAACACAAATTGCGAACAAATACTGGCGCACCACTCAATACAAGAGCATGGCCCCAGTCGTGCTGGAGCATGGACATTTCCATCAACCCCATCCAAGCACCAGGATTGCATGTTCCTGAGTACTGTATACCGAAAAATTTTCGCGGGAGAAAAATTTTCGCGCATTTCGCGGTCGAGCCAGTGCGCGAAAATATTTCTCCGCGAAAATTTTGGCCCCACGAACGTTTTTCGCCCGCGAACTTTTCGGCACCCCTCAGGGGTGGGTCAGGCGCTGGGCGCGCAGTTTGACCTCTTGGCTTTGCGGTGCGGCGTGTGGCCCCCGCCGAGCGGCAAAGAAGCCCTGAACTGGCCAGCGGGGGGTTCGCAGGGCAGTGGCCATCGGCTGCCCGAGTCTCCACGGAGCCCACAAGTTTTTGGGAGCATTTCGAGGGCACAGGCGCAGTGTGGCTTGCAAAGCGATCGGCGACCGAATCTGTGCCTGCATCGAGCCCGTCGAACGCGCAAGAAGCGCGCCCTGGGGACGGCCCACAGGGTGGCTCCGGATGCGGCGCGAATGCTGCGGCGCATGTCGCCTCTCATGGGCACCCATTCCCACCATTGGCGGGTGCCATTTCAGGCGACCACGGGTGATAGGAATGGGCGCCTGCGAGGCGCCATTCCTGCTGCGCCTCTTGCGCTTCGCGGGCGCCCATTCGCGTCGCCTGCGGAGGCCGTTCCAGGCCACCGCGGAGGGCGCGAATGGGCAGCCGAATGAGGGCGCGCCTGTCGCGCCTATCGGCTGGCCATTCGCGCCACCGACCGGGGGGATTCAAGGCAGCGCGGGCGGCGCGATTGTGCGCCCACGAGGCGCTTATCTTGCGGCGCATCTCGCTCCTCAGGCTGGCGCCCACCCGGGCCACCGGCGGGGCCCATCCTAGGCCACCGCGGGCGGCGCGAATGGGCGGCCGTGAGGCGCCGATCCGGGCGCTCCTCCAAGGCCTCGCGGGTGGCCACTCGGGCAGGCCCTGCTGGTCGCCCACTACGCCAAAGGACCCTCAGTTTGCTGGGCCTCCGAGCGGACTACAGCCAAGGCGGGCACCCGCTGGTACCCCACCCGCAAAGGTCGCGCAGCGACAATGTTCGCGCGGCAGAAATTTTCGCGGGAAAAAAAGTTCGCGGGAGAAAAATTTTCGCGCACCGACGAGTGCGCGAAAATATTTCTCCGCGAATTTTTTTTCCCGCGAAATACGCGAAATTTTTTCTCCGCGAAAATTTTTCGGTATACAGTAACTCTGATGCACAACGAACAATTGTCAAGGAACAGAGAAACACACGTTTTCATTGCTAAGCAGTGCAACAATGGCTTTGGACGCCTTGCCATCGCCACCTGACCTGCTTACCAAGCACCCAGGGTGCTCCCCACAAGCAACAGATAATGCCCATTCGCGCTTCTCATGAGGGGCATTCATCCTCGGCCTCGCCGCGCGAAACTGAAACTGCATGTCGTTACTATGAAGTTACGCACGCTTGCCCCGAAAAGCGCCTCGAGCCCCGCAACCCGAGTTCCCCCCCTGTTCCACCGCCCCTCAATACTCCCAAACACGCGGGCAAATTCCCACGCCACATGTCATCACAATACAACTTGCATTGTCGCAAGCCCGGGCTAAGGCCGTATCATACAGCCCCTACCCCAGCCTTGCGACATTTTGCCCCTGGTCGTTGCCGCGCCGCGCAGAGCACAAGCGAGCGAGGGCCGCCCCACTGGCGGGAGGAAGGACGGAGCGCCCGGCGGGGATCGCGCCCGGCGGGCACCCGCCGGAATGCCAGTGGCCGGGTCGGAATAGGTGCGCAAACCTGCCGGCCAACACAGGGCCGTTGCTGTGGAACTTTCAACCGCCGAATCTTGGCGCCCCGAAACGGTGGGAGTTCAACGATCAGGGCGGGGGAGTGGGGGGGGGGGGTTTAGCGCGACGTGAGGCCGGAGAGGTGAGCCCTCTCATGTGAGCCCTGGGTAGGACACTTGCGGGGATGTTGGGTTTGGGGGGCGAAGGGCGCGCACCCTTTGGCAGGCTGGCCGGCAGGTTGCCAGCCGCCTCGCTCCCTCCGCCGAATGGAACGCGTTCCTGCCGACCGATCTCGCGACAGGCATCCCGCCTGACGTCACGCTTTGCGCATCTTGAAGCGCGGCCCAAGAATGGGGGAAGCCGAACTGTGGCCGGCATTGCCGACCCGCGGCCTGTGGCTGCCGCACGCTTCCGGCCTGTTCAGAGGGGGGGGGAATGCGGCGGGGGCGCCCACGGCCCCTGAGGGGCTCGAGGGCGGAGATTGCGCATTCGCTGGGTTGGCGCGCAGAGCGCTGTGTTGACGCCTGTGAGTGGGGCG